CACCAGTGCCCTTTCTCCACCGCCCCCTGCCCGTCTGTTCTCCCGTATGTCACGGCCAAGTGGCCCTCAGCACTGCCGGCCTTGGGATGCCTTCTGGAGTGACAGCCACAAGCGCTGCCTAAGGAAGACACTAAACAAAGAGTAGAGGCTGGGCGTGGTGGGTCACGCCTGTAATCCCAGCACTTTGGGAGGCCGAGGCGGGTGGATCGCCTGAGGTCAGGAGTTCAAGACCAGCCTGGCCAACATGGTGAAACCCTGTCTCTATTAAAAATACAAAAACCAGCTAGGCGTAGCAGCGCATGCCTGTAATCCCAGCTACTCGGGAGGCTGAGGCAGAATTCCTTGAACCCAGGAGGCAGTGAGCTGAGGTCGCTCCACTGCACTCCAGCCTAGGCAACAGAGTGAGCCTCTGTCTCAAAAAAAAAAAACAACAACAAAGAGTAAGTGATCAAGGGCTCTAGCCTTGGAGTCAGGCAAACATCACCTCCACTCTCTACTAACTGTGACCAACCTGAGCTTCAGTTTCCCCTTCTGTAACATGGGGGTTAAACAGAACAGGGCTGTGAGAATTAAACGAGATATTACAAATAAGAGCTGAGGACCAAGTTTCCCAACCTCACTGCTATAGACAATTTGCTGTGGAAGCCTGTCCCGGGCATCTCTGACTTCTACCCACTAGATGCTAAGTAGCCCCTCACAGTTGTAAAAACCAACTATGTCTCCAGCCACTGCCAATGTCCCTTGGAGGCCACAATTGCTCCTGGTTGAGAATCCTTGGATTAGGGATACCTGATATGTTTGTTTTAAGCTCTCAAAAAATTATAGCTCCAGCCTGGGCAACATAGTGAAACCCCATCTCTACAAACAGGAAAAAAAATTAGCTGGGTATGGTGGCACAGGCCTGTGGTCCCAACTACTTGGGAGGCTGAGGTGGGAGGACTGCTTGGGTACAGGAGGTTGAGGCTGCAGGGAACTGTGATCATGCCACTGCACTCCAGCCTGGGTGACAAAGACCTTGTCTCAAAAAAAAAAAAAAGATTATAGCTGTTTTTATGGGCATTCTTCATAGCACCCAGCCCAGGGCTAAGTTCAAAAAACCTCTTTTTATTTTTTTGGAGACAGAGTCTTGCTCTGTTGCCCAGGCTGGAGTGCAGTGGCACAATCTTGGCTCACTGCAACCTCCACCTCTTGGGTTCAAGAGATTTTTATGCCTCAGCCTTCTAGCCTTCTGGGTAGCTAAGATTACGCATGGTGTGTGCTACCACGTGCAGCTATTTTTTGTATTTTTAGTAGAGATGGGGTTTCGCCATGTTGGCCAGGTTGGTCTCAAACTCCTGGCCCCAAGTGATCTGCCTGCCTTGACATCCCAAAGTGCTGGGATTACAGGCATGAGCCACCATGCCCAGTCCAAAAATCTCTTAAAATAGTAGCTTAAGAGCCTGGCCCCTCCTCCTACTAGATTGTGACCCCTTCCAGGAAGCCCTCCCATAGACCCCTACCCTTTTTTTTCTGGTTCCCTGGCACTGGTTCCCCAGCACTGATACCCCAGGGCCCCTCTGCCTCAACCACCCTGAAGGCTGTCCCCAGTCAGCCCTCAGTATCCCGACTGCTGGCCCCTTGACCCCGGCTGGCTCCTGCTCACCTCGTAATCTACCCCGACTCGGTTCAGGGCGATGTTGATGGTGAAAGTGGAGGCATCATGGTGCGGCATCAGTGAGGGCTGCTCATCAGGCTTGTAGCGGACGACAAAGGCCAGGTCAAACTGGGCCTGTACCAACGCAGGGGGACAAGAGAGGCCGTGTTAGTCAAGGAGGCCACAAAGGCCAGGAGAGAAGGGTGCACACACGAGGCCTGGTCTGGCCTGCTGCAGGTCAGCGTACAGCGGCCAGGTCTGCATGGGGCTGTATGCTCCAGTGCCTGCAACTGCCTG